GGGAAATTTAATTTACTGTTTTGCAAATACATACATACACTGATTTTACTAGAAAAAAAAAATCTCCATATTCAAATGGTGCTTATATCATGTATATTAGTGTGATTGTAACTTGTTTGTGTGCCTCGGAAACAAGGTATTGAGTCATGCTTCTTGCAATAGTTGTTGTGGGTTTAAGTATGTCAAATTTCTTTTTCATAATGTGTATTTAATGTAAGTTAGTTGTTTTGTTTCAATTGTGTTGAGAAAAATTTAACATTTGTTTGTCAAGGCTTCAAAGTGGACTATATGGCATTGGTTTTCTCAGTTTTGAAAGCCGTACAGTGACCTATAATTTCTTTTATCCAAGTCATTTAAATTCTGGTGGATAGCTGTCTCATACACCTTATCGCTATTTCAGTATTTGGAAATCTGTCCCGCTTGAACTTTTTACGTCAGCATACGTCATACAATAATACACCTTAACGCTATTCCCGCTTGACCCGAGAATCTATCCTGCTTGAACTTTTGACGTCAAACAACAATCACTTTTCCATTGTGGCATCAGATATTTTTTATGATGACGTCAAAATTTTAAGGGAACTTGTGACAGTTGTGTGATGTCCAGTAATGGCGGACAAATAGCAATAAGGTGTATTACTTTCAATTGTGGTGTCAAATATTTTCTTATATGACGTCAACATTTTACGGGAACTTTTGTGATGTCCATGGCCAGTAATGGCGGATAAATAGGGATAAGGTGTATTGGCAATCAAACACACAATCCACATATCCTTATAATTTTTTTTATATCAATGTCAATGAACAAATTCATAATTGGTGTACGTAGATGCTTGAACAGTGGCGGATTTAGGGGCCCCGACCCCCTTATGGAGCTACTAATAAGATAAATGTATAGACTATTTACAAGTATCACTCCAAACGTTTGCTTGCCTTGGGCAGGGGCCCCCCTTTTTTCAAAACCTTGATCCGCACCTCCAGAAACAGATGTAATTTGGTTCCGATTATGATTGAACACACACAATGAATGCACAAGTTTCATCTTAACAGATTAATCATTCTTACCAAGTGAGTATATATCGCGTAACAAACAATTTTTTTGGCTCTCTTTGTTGATATCCTGTCTTCGTTTTGAAATTCAAATTTCAAAATCATTTCCGGTGATAAAACAAAAGTCGATTCCGGAAAAGGTCGGTTTTCCGTAAGGCATATATAAACGATACGAAAATTGAACTTAGTACAGTTACAGTTTTCATTTCTTAATTTCTAAAATATACACGAACGAAATGAACAAACATTAAAGAAAGGTGATTGTTTATTAATACATTATTGCTTAATTTAATGTTGACTCTTTTGAATTTTAATATAAGAAGGAATAAAATCTGACTTCAAGGATTTTCAAGATATCACTTTAAGGATTTCAATCATAGTATCTTGCTTGTCATGACATTGATGAAATGTAGTACTATATCTTATCCTGAAAAAAACGAGCTAATTCCACACAATGTTGTTTGTGGGGTTTTGAATAAAGTTTAAATAAAATGTTATTTTTATATCCGTAAAATGTTGAATAAAATATCAGTAAGACTATTAAGTAATGTGTATGTCAGAATATTTTATAGAAAACATTTAGCTGATATTTTTCAGATGTTTTATGTAAAACATTTTAATTTTACTTTATAAAACATTTTATGCAAATAGCAAAACTATATTTTCTGTAAAACATTTTTTTGCAGAATGTTTTTTGGATATTTGGAAAATATTTACTTTAAATGTTGTTAAAATATAAAATACCAATTGAAGAAAATATTATTTTTTTATATTATAAAATATCTACGTGATATTTTAGAACAATGTTTGAGAACATGAATAAAAGATATTAGCAAATAATATTTTGTTAATGTTGTAAAAACATTTTACTTAAATGTTAGAAATAAAACATTTCAAAAACAATAAAATAAACATTTTTTTTTATGTTTAAATGATATCTTATTGAAATATTTTGTGAGAGACGTCCATATGACATTTAAAAAAAGTTTTTAAAATGTTGTGTGTTTGCTGGGGAAGGAGAAAATCTATTAGCTATTTTTGTGGGCTAGAATAAAAAAAATGTACAAGTTAGATAATACCAAAAGTAGAGGAAAAGGAAATAGAGATGTAATTTCAAATCAAAAGGATATTTTGAAAGAAATGAAAAAAAAAATATGAAAATTTATATAAAAATAAAGATCAGTCAAAGGGAGAAAAATTAAGTAAACTCGAAGAAGGATTGAAAGATATTAACTTTAAAAAATTAACTGATGATGAGAAAAATAATCTTGAAGGTAAAATAACTATTGAAGAAGCTGGTTTATTATTTAAAAATATGAAAAATAATAAAACGCCAGGATCTGATGGTTTTTTCAGAGTTTTTTTTATTTTTTTTTTTTGGAAAGATTCGAAAATTGTTGTTATAAACTTCTTGAACTACAGTACTGAGATTGGTGAACAGTTAAACTATCTGTCACGCAAAAACAAGCAATCATTACATGCCTGCTTAAAGAAAATAGGCCTAGAAAAAATTGGCGACGTATATCATTATTAAATACAGTATATAAAATAGGCTCTGGAGTAATAGGTAACCGCTTTAAAACAGTTTTAGATAAACTGATAGATTTCGAACAAACTGGGTTTATAAGTGGAAGATACATTGGAGAAAATCTTCGTTTAATTTATGATATTATGCAATTTACTGAGGAAGAAGATATTCCAGGCCCTTTATTGCTCATAGATTTTGAAAAGCCATTTGATTCAATTTCTTGGGAGTTTCTCACCAATGTACTGAAGTTGTTTCATTTTGAAGAATCAATAATTAATTGGATTAAAGTTTTTTTTATAGCAATATTAAATCAGCTGTTAATTAGGGAGGACATCTATCAGAATTTTTTTTCTAAAGAACGAGGTGGTAGACAAGGTGATACCTTGTCTCCTTATATTTTCATTCTGTGTGCTGAGATATTAGCACTAAAAATACGAAATAATGATAAAATAAGGGTCATTTCAGTAACTCAAGTTGAGCACAAACTTTCACAGTTTGATGATGACACATCTCTTATTTAAGATGGTAAAGAAGAATCTTTGAATGAAGCATTAAATGAATTAGATTGGTTTGGAAATATATCTGGTTTAAATATATATTTTTTTCTAAAACACAGGTTATTTGGATAGGAAATAAAAAGTATAGTAATGAGATTTTATGTCAAAATAGAAACCTTTGATGGGGAGAAACATATTTTAAGTTATTAGGTTTAAGCTTTGATGCTAATCTTGATAGAATTGTAAAAATTAATTATGATGAAAAAATTGTACAAATAAAATGTGTAATTAAACAGTGGTCAAAACTAAATCTTACTGTTATTGGTAGAATTACTGTCGTGAAGTCATTGATATTGCCTATTTTAAATTATTTGTTTACATCCTTACCAAATCCAAGTGATGATATTTTAAAAAAAGTTATTGAACTAATGTACAATTTTATATGGAGTTCACCAGTCAATAGAATAAAGAGAGATGTTTTACAAAATGATATTGAAGATGGTTGACTCAAAATGATAAATCTTAGAGCATTTATTTTAGCACTGAAGTGTACATGGATAAGACGATTATTTAAAACAGACAACAAATAGCAGAATGTTTTTTTTTGTCAAATGTACATGTAGAAATTGAAAATTTGTATGGTTGTGGGAGTGTATGTATATACACAAAGATAACAACAAAATATCAAAAATAAATTTTGGAAAGATGTTCTGAAAGAATGGTAACTTCTCAGAGAAAAAGATGAATATGACAGTTGGGAATGCTTTCTTGCTTGTCCAATTTGGCTTAACAATAACATAAAGATAGAAAATAAACCTAGTTTTCATAAAGATCGGTTTCAAAATGGTATACGATTTGTAAAGATATTATAAATGAAGATGGGACTTTTTCTCTCTTCAAAAATTAGAAGAAATATATTAGATAAATGTGAATTTCATGAGATATAATAGTATTATATCAGCTGTACATCAAGCATCAAAATTATTTTTGGTGAAAAAATCACAAATTAGAACTACCTTTAATTCCATCCGCTATCAAAAGACTTGTTAAAAGTTCAACAGGATCTAAAGATATGTAAAGTACGGAAGCCTTTTAAAGCCATGCTAATTTACTTTTTCCAATTTGATATAACAAATTAATAATTTGAAATAACAACTTGATAATTTGATATAACAAATTATCAATTAGATATAACACATAAATAAAAGAGAAGATGAAAAATTTGTATGCAATTGATAAAAATATTGTTATGAAATACAGAAGTGAAAATCAGTTTCACAGAATGGAATATTTCTGATAAACTACTTAGTTAAGTATGTATATATATATTTTTACTGCTATAAATGAAAATGCAGGATTTACTCTACTGAATTATAATTCAATGTTCAGATGAATTTGTATTGTAAACTCACCACCTCTCTCTCTCTCTCTCTCTCTCTCTCTCTCTCTCTCTCTCTCTCTCTCTCTCTCTCTCTCTCTCTCTCTGGGTTTAGACTGTCTTACTCTCTATATTATATACATATATTTAGAGAAAAAAATGCTTCCTCAGAAAGATGTATTGATTAGATAATATCAGTAGATTTATATATTATATTTTATATATTGCTATTATGTTTGTGTATATTATGGTGTACATTGGAAGTTAAGAAATAATAAAAAAAAAAGTTTTGATGGTGGTCTTGAAATGTTTTACATGACTTGGTATAAAGTAATTTTTTTTTATTAAAAAAGATATCAAAAAAATGTCTAAGTTATGTCAAGTTTAGTTCTTTAGGCATATTTGCCCTTTAAAAGTATGTTATTTGTTCTTCGAACCTAATTAAATAAACACTTTTATGATTCAGTGTTCAACTTGTTACACATATACTATTTTTTTTCCATTATAGTAACTTTCATTTTTTGTGAATATCTTGTAGAAACAACAGTAATGTTTGAAATCAGCACAATCCGTAGCAAAACTGTAACAGTATATAATAGCACTGATAACAAAATGCGTGCAGGTAATGTATTTTTCTACTATTGTACAAATATAAAAGAAAGAAAAAATGTTAGTCATATTATGATAATTTTGAATAATTTGATAGTTAAGACACAACTCATTCATCTTTGGGGGAATTGGTTTGTAGTCCGACTGTCTGAAATAATAATAATTTGCACTGTGACCTTCCAAAGTTCAAATGTTAATTACATTCTAAAATGTTTGGTTTGTGGACTCCAGTATGTTGGTGATTCAAAGCAACCATTTCACAATCGCCTCAATGGCCATATAATTGATATCACTAAGAGGCCACTTTTCAAAGTTAGCCATCACTTCATACATTCTGGACAAAAACTTGACCACTTTAAACGAATGAAGTCTTAGTAATAGAACAAAACATTCACTGGAATGATGCCCAGCAACAGGTTCAAGAAAGATTCCGGATAAAAGGAGAAAATGTCCAACATCTAAAACGCCATCAACAGTAAAAACTACCAGTTTTCATTGGTAGAGGTGTTTATCTTGTATTTTATATATATATATTGAAACTAACTTTTTGGGATACATAAGTGCGCACCCACGTCCACTTAGAACATACTCAACCCTTCTCGTCCAATGAAAAATCAGTGTTCTCCCTTCTAATTTTCCATGCACTATAAAATACTATACATGAATGACTTGTCATTGTAGATTAATTATGAAAGTGAACTCTCAATAACTACACTAACGAAGTGTACAATCCCTTGAGGCATTTTCCTTGAGAAAATAGCTTACTGATTAAAGATGAGAGAGAAAAGAATTATAAAAAACATTTTGAATTTTGCAAATATTTATCATGGTACATATATATAACAAACAAAAAATGAAATGGGGGCAAAGATGTAGGTTAAATAATCATTTCTCAATTTTTATACCAGACATTCGAGTCAATATTTTTTTTTTTCTTTCAAGAAAACAATGTCAGACTGCTGATATATAAAGCAAAGGATTTTTTTTCGAAAAAAAAAACACAATACATGTACATTCATCAATAAAAAGTAAGCATCTGATGTTGAATGGTCGTAATTCAAAAGTTTATAAAGTGAGTTTTATAATTATCAACAAATATACAAATTTCAAAAAGCTGATTTATATAACATTGTGTGCTTTTTTAAAATCAAAACATTTTAAGTATATAAGTATGAAATTTTACCTGAAGCATAACTCAATAGATGTAAGAAGATGTGGTATGAGTGCCAATGAGACAACTCTCCATCCAAGTCACAATTTGTAAAAATAAACCATTATAGGTCAAAGTACGGCCTTCAACACGGAGCCTTAGCTCACACTGAACAGCAAGCTATAAAGGGCCCCAAAATGACTGGTGTAAAACCATTCAAACAGGAAAACCAACGGTCTAATCTATATAAAAAACGAGAAATGAGAAACACTTATGAACCACATCAACAAACGACAACCACTGAACATCAGATTCCTGACTTAGGACAGGTGCAAACAAATGCAGCGGGTTTAAACGTTTTAATAGGCACCAACCTTCACCCTACCTGAAACAATAGTGAAACATCACAACATAGAAAGACACACTATAAAAAATCAATTGAAATGGCTGAACTCAATCAAAAGACATATTAACAAATACAAGTGAACATACACTGAACGAATAAATTTGATCTATGACACAATGTAAATACAAAATTAATAAAACAAGGGAGTTAGATGTAAAACAATATCAGAAAGACAACCACAACCTTGGACAAAATGCCGTCAAATAGAATAACGTACACAGGTAAATAAAAATAATTTTGTTGTAAGGTATACATGGAGTACGGAAATAATTTTTACAAAATAAATAATTTTGTTGTTCCTAGTACGAGAACAAAAGTGAAAGTTTATCGTCATACTAAACACTTATCACTTGTTGTGGTATATATTAAATATAGTGATGTTTGAACAATTTATCCTTTTTGTCCTCACAAAACTATGTCAGTGCTATTTCATTATATTCATTGAAATGATCATTACCTATGTTATACATTCCTTTTATTAACCTAGTTAACACTTCATTAGAAAAAGTGAATTCTTATTAAGGTTTGAATATTACAATGGGAAAGGATAATTTTGTAAGGTCACTCGAAAGTGTGAATATGTTCTAAATTGGTCAGACAATACTTGGTCATGTTTTTAAACATTTAAAACCCTCGGCTACGCTTTGGGCTTTAAATCTTCATAAAACATGACCAAGTATTGTCTAACCTATACATAGTATCCAGTTTATTTGTTTTGTTATATGAGGTGCAGGGGCCAGTTTCACAAAGCTGTTTTAGGACTAAGACATATCTTAGGATGGTCTTACGACATATCTTAGTCCTAAGTGGGTTTCACAAAGTGGTCCTAAATAAGGACATCTCTTAAAGTTGGTCATAAAGTTAGGACTACACAAGAGGTGTCTTATAATGGTCTTAGGATAGTCATAAGTTTATTTATATAAATTACACTCATTTTTTATATTAATTTTGCAAATTATCTAATTATTATCTTAAAATCTATTCTCCTTTTCCTGCTCATGCATAACTAAATCTTTGTAGGGTGACGGATTATCATGATTTGTCAACAATGAACATTCGATGTATTGATATCAAGAATGCACGATTTTATCCTTTAACCTTATTATAACCGATACAGTGACAAATTGAATTCAACTCACTTGTACAAAAACAATGTAATCATTTTATTCTTTTTCTCTCAATTTTGTATTTAAAGTTTCATATGTATATTGGTGTATTATTAATAGATTATTTATATAAATTACACTTATTTTTTATATTATTTTTGCAAATTATCTAAACTACGTTCAGTAATTGATGGGAAAAACATACTACATTTACATGAATTTTTCCATAAATCCATGTTAATATTTGAAAATTTAAAGAACTTGCGACAGGTTTAGGATATCTTTGCTAAGATCACCCTAAGACAGCTTCGAGGCGAGGTCTGAGATATGTCCTAAGATAGTCATAAGAGGATCATAAGACATGTCCTAAGATATATCATATGACAGGTCTTAGGATAGCTTCGTGAAACCGGCCCCTGGATTTCAGATTAAATCAATAGTTCAAAATTTACCTGTACGTCTAGTGAAGTAATTTTAAAACATAAACACCTTTTGTATAACATTTGCTTATAACATTGACACTGAAGAATGCCATTTGTTGATCCGAAATATTTATACGATTCTATTGCATCGTGTTCGTATGTTACTATCTCATAACAGCATCGTTCCACACACCTTATATCAAAAGCATACAACACACAGTTAAAAGTAAAAACATGTTCTGCAATAACATCGCGCAGACATCAGTGGGAACTAATTTTGATGAAGAAAACTCAGAGATGCTTTTAACCAGAAATGAACAAAAGGACACCGGGAAGTCTGTCTACCTACGACCGCAATTTCTTTAATAATTTGCGTAATATTCTTGAAGCTGTTGTTAGTTTGCAAGTCGATTTATGAACGTTCTTTTCTGGTAATAGCTATATATCTGTGTTTGCAATGTCCGATCAGATGAACTAATTCAATATTTGTGTGAACTTCAGGAATAACAACTTCCAGAAGCAAAAACCATGGTGACACGTATTCTAAATGGAGTATCTGGTTGTACATTTTCCTTTCAACGGGACTGGTGATAATGGTTTTGTCAGTATCAAAATTGAGGTATTGATTTAGAAAAAAGTAAAATAGCAAAAATAACGAACTCCAAGAAAAATTTAAAAACGGAAAGTCCTTTATCAAATGGCAAAATCAAAAGCTCAAACACATCAAAGGAATGGAAAACAACTGTCATATTCCTGACTTGGTACAGGCATTTCCTTATGTAGAAAATGTTTGGATTAAACCTAGTTTTATGGCTAGCTAAACCTCTTACCTGTATGACAGTCGCATAGAATTCCATTATATTGACAACAATGTGTGAGCAAAACAAGAAATATTGACATTACGCTTAAATAATTCAACATTAAACCATAAAATATATAGTTGCTTCAAATAGTGGAATTAATTTTTTTTTTTAAATGAAAAAAAATCTTTCAATTTGGATGCTTTTTGATAAATTACCTGCTATTGATTGTCCTTTTGATTCGGTTGACAGTTTTGACTTTTCCACTATTTAGACTAAACTTCCACACAATCTTGTTCCTGTACTGTTATGAGTTACAGTTTATGGCCAAACTCAGTAAAGATCCGTCTTAATTCCATTAAATTGACAAATTCAACAACGCTTACCATTATCTTGATGATATTTTTTCGTTAAATAATTAAGAATTTTCGAAATATACTGCTGAAATTTGCCCGAAGGAACTTTCTTTAAATAAATCAAATATTAACAGCAATAACTGTCTATTCCTACATTTAGATATTTCAGTTTTACACGAGAAACTCTCCAAAAAATTTACGACAAAAGGGACAATTTTTCTTTCTCTTATTGTTAATTTTCCTTTTTTTATGGTGATGTTCCTTTACTAAAGCACGGGTTAACGGTGTTTATATTACCCACCTCGTTCGCTATGCCCGTTTTTATTGGTATATTGATTATGTGATCAGTAAATTAAAACCATACTAAATATTATTGTTATACACATATGAACTTTCACGGTACTACAATCCGCGAAACATATTTTGGCATTGCACAAGGTCATGTTTTTCTCTGACTGTTAATGACGTCTTAACACTAAATCTATTAGTTGTTGGATGTGAACTGATTGAAATGTAAGTCTTTAATACATGATTGCTTTTATAAGTTGTTATTGGCTTTGAACTAGCTGATAATCCTTGATACATGATTTGAACTAGCTGTTAGTCTTAGATATATGATTTTTTAATTAGTTGTAATTGGCTTTGAAATAGCTGTCAGTAACTGCGAGTACTCTCAGATCTGTACTTAGTGTCCTTATTGTTGTTGTTAGGGATATATAAGTACCCTGCCACGTCCGGTCTGTTAGGTGTTTTTCTGCTTTGTATCGATCTGATGAGTTAAGCCGTTTTCAACTGATATGTTTAGTTTGTTCTTATGTTGTGCTGTAACACCACTGTCAAAGGCTAGGGGAGGGAGGATTGAGCGCTCACAAACATGTTTAACCCCGTCACATTATTTATGTGCCTGTCCCAAGTAAGGAGCCTGTAGTTCAGTGGTCGTTGGTTCATGTCTGTCATATTTGATTTTCGTAAATTCGAAAAATTTCGTAATATTAGGCCGTTAGTTTTCTCAATTGAATTGTTTCATATTTTTCATGTCGGGGCCTTTTATAGCCGACTATACGGTTTTGGTTTTTCTCATTGTTGAAGGCCGTATGGTTGCCTATGATTGCTTATAACCACTTCATTTGAATTTTGGTAGATAGTTGTCTCATTTACAATCATACCACATCTCCTTATTTTTATATTAACGTACATTGGCAATTTCATGAACATTCAGGACGAAAACAACCAATAACTAGGTTCTGGAATTTGATCTGCTACTGGAAGCGACGATATATTTGATAAAATCAAACATTTTTCTTGCAACAGGCTACCTATGGACCCCTCAGAGATTGTTGCAAGGCACTCTCCCTACACGAGACATCAGATAGATTTAACATCTTAATTCGAGTTGTGTATTAAGGGCATTCGATACGGTTTTGATACCGAGATGAATCTGTTAAGAAAATTTGCATACCAGCTATTTTATATCTGATCAATCCAAACGTGTTATAGAATATACAAAAATATATACCTTCATGTCCTACTTTCTGGAGATGAATGGGGTCATAATTTTAAATATTCACTGAAACTTCATTTTTCTTATATTTGTATTTCCTTTGGAAATCCTTTTTTGTTTAGAAGATAAACACAAGCGGTTTTTTTGTAAAAAAAAAATACATTTGAAAGTGAAACAAATCTTTGGAAATAATACATATATATTATTATTTTCATGATTTAAGAAAAGAAAAAAACTATATTTTTGCAATATTTATGTAATTTAATGAAAATTTATTAGTGATTTTTTTCAATAAAAAAATGGTACAAATAATCTTCCAACATAGCTAAGCCCAGTGTCATTTAAAATAAAACATGGGTTCCTGAATTCGTTTTCAAGCTAATGATTAAAATCAGTTGGAACTTCCATCTTTTCCCGATATGTCACATTTTGACTTCGCAAAAATAATATTTTACGTTAGCGACGTTATAACCTTCCTTGTAACGGTATCGTAAGCCCTTAAATAAACCACCAACTATTAGCCATCAATACCTTTGAAGATAAAGCTACAGAATTTAGACTGACGGAAACCAATAAGTATGATCTTAACATAACATGGTGACAGTTTCCAATTCATTAACAGGAGTTTGTCTTTTATGCTATGTGGATACAATAAAAAGTGGCCTCTTCTTTGTTGGGTATGATTCATATAATTCAACAGTAGTGTTAGGGATTGTTTGTTTCTGAGGTTATTTCTCATAGCTGCAGTGTATACTTCTTAATTTTATGCATGGTTCAGGTTTGAAAATTATCTAATACAGATGTATGTGGTTTGTCATTTTATTATCTATTCAACCTCTTTGACATATTTGAGATTACATGTATGCCCTATGATGTTAGTTTCCAGCATCACCTGAATATTGAGTATATATCTCCCAGTCGATACGATATTCCAGAGCTTGCAATTCCTATCATGACTTCTTTGATAGAGGGTTGCTGCTTACAAGTAAGCAATTGAGCCAAGTGTTCCAAGTGGGGATTTTGAAATCATCCCTTCGAAAATTTTACGAACGCCATTACGAGTTGGTTGACCGTTATGGAATATTTGTTTCACAGATGACGAAGGATATGTTCCAATTGTTGTAACAACAAACCCGTCCTCTTTTCCTCGAATGTGACCTACCGAATTAGACTTATCACCGGGTTAGTACTTACACGAGCATCACAACGGTACCACATGTGGAGCAGGATCTGACTACCATTCCGGAGCACCTGAGATCACCCTGGTTTTTGGTGGGGTTGGTGTCGCTCAGTTTTTTGGTTTTCTATGTTGTGTTTTATGTTTGTCGTTTCGTCGTTTTCTTTGTTTTGCATTGGCATTGTCAGTTTGTTTTCTAATTATGAGTTTGAATATCCTTTGGTATCTTTCGCCTCTCTTTTAATGTAATCAGGACTAGCCTTGTTCATTTAAGATTCATTTGCATAATTTTCGACCCGGTAACTTTGAAATGCTTTTTTTTTGTTGAAATATTGTTTTTTTCTTATCAGATATGTTTATAAAGAAGTATTTATAGGAAACCATTGCATGCTATTACAGTATCATCCTTGTGTTACACAGTGAAAGTTCTAGACCCAGTTTATGGTTCACTGATATCGTCCAATTCCGAATGAAAATCAAGGTGGATAATTTATAGTTGACTGTTTGATAAATCCAACTGTTATAGTATAGTCAACAATCAGGCTGTCCACACAATTTATTTTACAAGTAATTAATATATCCTACCGATGATATATTCCACATTTTGAGATATTGTCCAAAGATATAATTTCCACCGATGATAATTATAATCTACCAAATAATTGTATTCAAAACTGGAATAAATTATGTTCTCCGAGTCTATATACTGATTAAATAGCACAGCCAAGAACTATATAATATAAGATCCGCAATAATTTTCATTAATTCTTTATTTAAACATGTAAACAAGGTCAGTTAAGCCGGCATGACAACACTATATAACTTTATGAACTTACACTGGGAAAAATCATGCAATATAAAATTTACATATCATTTGAATGAATAGGCATATAAAGCAATACGCATCTTGCGCAGTAAAATTGGTATCGTCAGTGTAATTACTTCCACTAGGTCGATATTTCTGCTGGTGGACTGGTGGTCCCCTAGAGCATTTAACAGCCAGGAAATACGAGTATTGTTTCATTGAAAGTTGTTCTTTATCTATACTTTTAAATGACAAGACCTCATTTTGTGTGTCGCTTCTCTTCCTTCCACAATAAATTAATCATCATGCCTCTGTGTCCTATAAGTACCATGAATAGTCGCATTTGTCATCCTCGCTTATGATTATTCAGTTTGGGTTATTTTGGGAGGAAAACGAAACTAAAGGCGTCCGGATATTGTTTCCGTCATCGGACAGACTTTTAAGTCATAGACAAGACTTCCGTTTAAGACTGTTTTAAAATTACACATAATTTTCATAAGTAGTGGACTTGGGGACAGGACAATTATTTTCGCGTATTTCTGTATAAACTATGATTTAGAGAGTCTCTATATAGTATATTGATAGTAAATAGCAAATACAATTTATTTATAGTATATGTATGTTCATAGTATACAGAAAAACAGAAAACAAAAACTAACAGACTTTGGAAAAAAAAAGGGGAGGACAAAAATAAAAATTGTCCTGCCACCAAGTACCTATGACTTTTGATACCTTTCCTGAAATTCTCCAGTTATAAAATCTTTCACAAAAATTCATCTTACAACTTGCAGTTTACATACTTTCAACCACGCTCTAAATGCCCGCGATTTCGCGGGTGTGTTCTTGTGATTATAAAACTTAATGAACAATTTTGAATTAAGAAAGGTATCGCACTCATACAAAGATCAAATTGGTCGTTTTCGATTGTATCAGCTCTTCAACGCTTGTATTATATTTTGATTTTCAAATATTTTGACATCGAGCATCACTGAAGGGCCCCTTATTGTTGAAATGCACAAACAGTTTGGTAAAATTGGTACTATTAGTGTTTTTACTAATGGTGGGCGTGTCTAATTAGTCATGCCTACTTGCAATTTTGCTACATCAAGCATAATTGTTTCCTTATTAAAGATATTATGCGGGAAACTTTTTAATATTTTACAGGGCAAAGTTAACACACTTAACATAACATGGTGACAGTTTCCAATTCATTAACAGGAGTTTGTCTTTTATGCTATGTGGATACAATAAAAAGTGGCCTCTTCTTTGTTGGGTATGATTCATATAATTCAACAGTAGTGTTAGGGATTGTTTGTTTCTGAGGTTATTTCTCATAGCTGCAGTGTATACTTCTTAATTTTATGCATGGTTCAGGTTTGAAAATTATCTAATACAGATGTATGTGGTTTGTCATTTTATTATCTATTCAACCTCTTTGACATATTTGAGATTACATGTATGCCCTATGATGTTAGTTTCCAGCATCACCTGAATATTGAGTATATATCTCCCAGTCGATACGATATTCCAGAGCTTGCAATTCCTATCATGACTTCTTTGATAGAGGGTTGCTGCTTACAAGTAAGCAATTGAGCCAAGTGTTCCAAGTGGGGATTTTGAAATCATCCCTTCGAAAATTTTACGAACGCCATCACGAGTTGGTTGACCGTTATGGAATATTTGTTTCACAGATGACGAAAGATATGTTCCAATTGTTGTAACAACAAACCCGTCCTCTTTTCCTCGAATGTGACCTACCGAATTAGACTTATCACCGGGTTAGTACTTACACGAGCATCACAACGGTACCACATGTGGAGCAGGATCTGACTACCATTCCGGAGCACCTGAGATCACCCTGGTTTTTGGTGGGGTTGGTGTCGCTCAGTTTTTTGGTTTTCTATGTTGTGTTTTATGTTTGTCGTTTCGTCGTTTTCTTTGTTTTGCATTGGCATTGTCAGTTTGTTTTCTAATTATGAGTTTGAATATCCTTTGGTATCTTTCGCCTCTCTTTTAATGTAATCAGGACTAGTCTTGTTCATTTAAGATTCATTTGCATAATTTTCGACCCGGTAACTTTGAAATGCTTTTTTTTGTTGAAATATTGTTTTTTTCTTATCAGATATGTTTATAAAGAAGTATTTATAGGAAACCATTGCATGCTATTACAGTATCATCCTTGTGTTACACAGTGAAAGTTCTAGACACAGTTTATGGTTCACTGATATCGTCCAATTCCGAATGAAAATCAAGGTGGATAATTTATAGTTGACTGTTTGATAAATCCAACTGTTATAGTATAGTCAACAATCAGGCTGTCCACACAATTTATTTTACAAGTAATTAATATATCCTACCGATGATATATTCCACATTTTGAGATATTGTCCAAAGATATAATTTCCACCGATGATAATTATAATCTACCAAATAATTGTATTCAAAACTGGAATAAATTATGTTCTCCGAGTCTATATACTGATTAAATAGCACAGCCAAGAACTATATAATATAAGATCCGCAATAATTTTCATTAATTCTTTATTTAAACATGTAAACAAGGTCAGTTAAGCCGGCATGACAACACTATATAACTTTATGAACTTACACTGGGAAAAATCATGCAATATAAAATTTACATATCATTTGAATGAATAGGCATATAAAGCAATACGCATCTTGCGCAGTAAAATTGGTATCGTCAGTGTAATTACTTCCACTAGGTCGATATTTCTGCTGGTGGACTGGTGGTCCCCTAGAGTATTTAACAGCCAGGAAATACGAGTATTGTTTCATTGAAAGTTGTTCTTTATCTATACTTTTAAATGACAAGACCTCATTTTGTGTGTCGCTTCTCTTCCTTCCACAATAAATTAATCATCATGCCTCTGTGTCCTATAAGTACCATGAATAGTCGCATTTGTCATCCTCGCTTATGATTATTCAGTTTGGGTTATTTTGGGAGGAAAACGAAACTAAAGGCGTCCGGATATTGTTTCCGTCATCGGACAGACTTTTAAGTCATAGACAAGACTTCCGTTTAAGACTGTTTTAAAATTACACATAATTTTCATAAGTAGTGGACTTGGGGACAGGACAATTATTTTCGCGTATTTCTGTATAAACTATGATTTAGAGAGTCTCTATATAGTATATTGATAGTAAATAGCAAATACAATTTATTTATAGTATATGTATGTTCATAGTATACAGAAAAACAGAAAACAAAAACTAACAGACTTTGGAAAAAAAAAGGGGAGGACAAAAATAAAAATTGTCCTGCCACCAAGTACCTATGACTTTTGATACCTTTCCTGAAATTCTCCAGTTATAAAATCTTTCACAAAAATTCATCTTACAACTTGCAGTTTACATACTTTCAACCACGCTCTAAATGCCCGCGATTTCGCGGGTGTGTTCTTGTGATTATAAAACTTAATGAACAATTTTGAATTAAGAAAGGTATCGCACTCATACAAAGATCAAATTGGTCGTTTTCGATTGTATCAGCTCTTCAACGCTTGTATTATATTTTGATTTTCAAATATTTTGACATCGAGCATCACTGAAGGGCCCCTTATTGTTGAAATGCACAAAAAGTTTGGTAAAATTGGTACTATTAGTGTTTTTACTAATGGTGGGCGTGTCTAATTAGTCATGCCTACTTGCAATTTTGCTACATCAAGCATAATTGTTTCCTTATTAAAGATATTATGCGGGAAACTTTTTAATATTTTACAGGGCAAAGTTAACACACTGCCTCAATCCTTCATTACATGCAAGAAACTTAAGGGGTAAGTCACTTAATGGGTAAGTCAAACACTATATCATACAAAAGTTTGTATATAAAGGTTAATAGAATGCTAAAATATAAATAAAGGAGCTTTCCCAAATTTGCAATTTATTGACTGAAAAGATATGGGAGACAATTTCCATGGAGGGTTAAAAAATAGCGCAAGTGGTCACAACTTTAAAAATTTTATAAGTCGTTCATTTGTACCTTTATATTAAATTCATATGTTATGGTAATTTGTTTTGAATATCGATTTTTAAAACAGATACATTTTTGTTAGATTTGAGCCTCTACTATTAAAAAAAACCCATTTTGTTATGAGTGAAAAACAGTTGCCATACGGTAGTGGTATAACAAAACAGTTATATAGAATGGGTTCTCGGTTTACAACTGGTATTTGACGTGAAGACTGAACTGTTGCCCGAAGCAGTCTTACAGCATCAAGTTCAGTCTTCGGTTCAAACAAAACTGTAAATCACTTTGTTTTTATTTGTACTTTTGTAAAATCTTATGTCCTCTTATTCAGTACATTCTCTTGTCCAACTACATTTGCCTTGATATTCTGATTATTTAGATATTTTCATATTACACATTAAACACTAAAACTTAACCAAAGCACTTTTTTTTAGTTTCTTTTATCGAAGTCGTCGGCAATCAAAAATGCCAATACACGATTATATATGCAGTCAACTTGGTAACTATTACCCAATAAAGTATTATGTTTGATTATCAGTTGATAAAAACTATTAATTATAATGTTTTCTGCAATATGAGATAATTTGTAAAATATCAGCTTCCAATAAACACTTTTCGGCGAGTATCATTCTGTGAAATGAAGAAGTTGTTACCTTTGGGAATATCAAACGTCGTATCACAAGTTGAAATAAGAAATACTGAATTGATTGATTTTTGGTGTTTAACACCACTTTTAGCACTTTTGGCTATATCGTGGTGGTCATTTTTATCGATGGGAGAAGCCAGAGTGTAATGAGAGAACCACCTACCTTTGTCAGAAAAACGGACAATCGTAGTCCATTGAGATTGGAGTCGAAAACACCTGTCACGTGCGGGGTTTGAACTCTCAACCTCAGGGTTGATACAGTAGATGAGATGAACTACCTAGAACACTCAGCCACCGAGGCCCCAAATTTACTGAATTGTAATTTAGTGGCAAATCTAGTGGCAAAAAAAAATTCCGAAAGTCGGTAGTTCTCTCCGGGCACTACGGCTTCCTCTACCAATAAAAACTGACCGACACGAAGTAACATACATGTAATTACATTAGATGTATGTTTCATTATAATACGTTATTTTGATTGGCTAACGGCAAGCTCGCGTCATTCTGAAATTAACATTCATTTCAAAATGAATTGTAACATTCATGATGACACACGTTTCCACAATAAAGTGCACAGGTAAATAAAAGAAAAACTTGATTGTAATCGTGTTTCCATGATCATAGCGAAAAAATGTAATTATAAGGCCACACCAATTTGATTTTTAGTTCTTCGGACAAAAGCTTCAAAAAATATGGGGCGAGCGAGCGAAATTTTTTTGATTGTATTTATTTCTTGAAAATGAGTTTTGTTGAGGCGGGTGCTCTACAAGTGGAGCGAGCGGTATATATTTTTTTTTAAATTGTGCGATTTAGAATATTTGTACACGTTGAAACTGGGTTACTTCAAAGAAAAAGGAGGATAAACATGCTCTTATGCATATAATTTAAGTTGATGTATTTGTGCCTGTAGTACAGTCTGTACCATACCCAACTTTTTGGTTCGCTTTGGTTTAGTATAATTTTGATTATTTTCGTCAAATAAGCTTTGACTGCGTGAATTTTCATTTAAATTCATACATGTGTATATATTAAGGAAGCATATCAGATGCAGTTTAGCAAGAGGAATTATGTTAGTTAGGTAAATGAAATGTGTTGAATACAATTAAAATATGTGTATGTATTCCAAAAAAATGCCCATGAAAAATATTAAATATCTTTTGATATAGTTGTTTTCATTATCATTATTGATTATATGGTAATGATTGTTTATTGGCTGCTTGACATCCAGTTGGAACTATTTATCAATAATAGGATCAACATAATGAGAGAGGTGAATATTTCAACAACATCCTGAGTAAGATAATTATATTGCTATGCATGCAGATCTCAATGTATTAAAACATTTAATCCCACTGCAAATGTTTGCACCTGTCCTTAGTCAGGAATCGGATGTTCAGTAGTTGTCGTCTGTTTATGTAGTTCATACGTGTTTCACGTTTCACGTTTCTATATAGATTAGACCGCTGGTTTTCCCGTTTGAATGGTTTTACACATTTTTTTGGGGCCCTTTATAGCTTGCTGTTCGGTGTGAGCCAAGGCTCCGTGTTGAAGGCCGTACCTTGACCTATAATAATGGTTTACTTTTATAAATTGTTACTTGGATGGAGAGTTGTCTCATTGGCACTCATACCACATCTTCCTATATCTATTACCTTAAAATACATTTAATCACATTCACATGCATTATTCTGACTTAGCAAAAATACTTTTTCCTTTTGCCCCTGAAACCTGCAATTAATGTATTTCAAACTGGAAGTGGTTGCACCAATAACACATCCCTAATTATTATTACTCGTGTCGATCTGAAGAGTCTTAGCTCTCCTCAACTGACTTCAACAGTTTGTTCTTATGTTGTGCTGTTACGCCACTATCAGTGGCGAATCCAGAGTGGGGCGTAGAAGGCGTACCCCCCCCCCCCTTTTGCTTGCACTTTTTTTTTTATAAAATGATTAATCAAACTAGACTTCGTGAACTTTGCCATGTCCCGTGTATTTAATTTTTATGCGACAATTCTTTTCTTATAAAGATATTTTTTGCTCGTATTTACTGTAATATATTATTGATTTTGTCAAAGTCATGTGATTCGCTACGGTGGAGTTGACCAGTGCGTCGAAAAAACGTCACTCAGTCATTTTGAAATTCAAATTACAGTAACACATTGCCTAGGCTTAGGATGACAAGCATGACACCCTCTATTACACTCTCACGAAAAAATAGTTCCACAGCAATAGTATTTACCTACGAAAACATGTTTAACCCCACACGCCCCAGCCTATTGATAACAGCTGAATAATGATCCCCAGTCAGTGAGCTCTTATACTAGATAGATTTAAAGTCTAAGGTACGGACCATTTGATTTGAGGGGGCAGTCTGAGATATTTTAGAAAAAGAATTCTGACCCTGAGTTTTGCCTTAAATAAAAGTTCTGGCCGTATCTGGATTGAAAACAATAATCTTGTCCACTTTTTTGCTACTAGAAACAAAAATTTCCAACAGAATTATTTAGCATTAAATGAACATGATGAATAAAAAACGGGCGTAATTTTTTTGGGGCCGGGGATTTGCATGTAAATCCCATATCTGACCGGAATGTCTGTTTCGCCGAACTGATATATTGAATACTTTTTTGAAGGCCCGACTGCAACCTGCCTGCTGGGTGTGGGTTTTATGTCTCCATTTGTCGACCGTCATTCATAAATTCGTTGTCATTTCAGACTCATTCGTAGCCTTTGGTTGATTTGGAATCCCTCACTTCCCTTGTTGGGTGAAACATTTCAACCACACATTTGGATAAAAATTGCTTGTTTGTCTTTCTTAACTCGTGTTGGTCGTATCGTAAATTTCATTGAATAGCCCGGCGTATATCTTGTTTACAACAAGAAATCTGCGAGGATATGCTAACTACACATACAACAAACGAGAATTTTCCATGTCCATTTTTTACTGACAAGTCCCACATCAAATATATTAGTACTTAGCTTTGGATCCATCCAATCATTTAAAAATAGACAATTAATGGGGAGAATCAAAAATATCCAACCCTTACACTTTAACTATAAAATATACATGCCCCACGTCAGGAACCGTTAAAAAAGTGCATTTTACACTTATTTTATGTTTTTTAGCCAAAAAAGGTCCACAAATTTTTTCGCCTCGCTCCGCTCGCTTAAAAAACTTCACCCCCCTTTCCAAAATCCTGGATCCGCCCCTGACTATCTCATGAAATGGAATGGTTGAGCGTTCACAACCATGTTTAACCTCGCTATTCCCTTTATGTGCTTGTGCTAAGTCGGAAGTCTGTAATTCAGTGGTTTTTGCTGTTTACTGTCTACCTTATTTATTTTCCGATTGTTATATTAGCATAAATCAGGCCAATGTTTTTTATTTGAATTGTTTCACACTTTATCATACCGGTACCTTTTATAGCTTTATATACGGTATGTGTTTATCTTATTGTTGAAGGCCGAACGATGACCTTAAGTTTCTTAACCCCACGTTCTTTGGTCTTTGGTGGAAATTTGTCTCAAACCACATATCCTCATCTTCATATATCGAATAACATATATCAACCACTGTTCGAATATTGGAGAGTCGGACCAGTTATAAAAATTAACAGATGAAGAAAATCAGCAATCTATAAAACTACATAAGGAGACATGTAGGTACGGAAAGTGATTTTTTTAAATTCAACTGATCCAAGAAAACTTTACCTCATTTTAAAGGCATTGTGAAGACATTTTCAAAACAGTTTCACTTTTATCAATACACATAATAACAACGAAGAAATAGCAAATTTTCAAAATGGTAATTTTTCACTAATCTAGAAAAACTGTTTCCTCTCTTTGAAAAATAATAAAATGTGTATTTCTAATCATTTGGGTTATAGTTTTGTTTATGTTGCTTCTTTTACATCTTGTTAGTCAATTTCAATCCTCCATGTTCAGTTTTTTGGTCAAAATAGAAGCATAAAGCATGAAAATGTCAACCACTCCCATGAAATTCTATCGACCAAAGTCACATAACATTAATTATGACGATACCTTTATATATTGCACCAAATTCCTGTCTTCAGAACATCAATTGGTATACTGAAAATGAAAAACAAAGCTATATAAACATTTAAATGTAAAGAAACAAAATATAAATATGAAAATTACTCTTTA